AGACACACATTCTCTTGCGGACACACTGTTCTCTTCCGTGTCTTCATGAACACAAACTGTTCTGGATGCTTTGGGAGGAATATCTGCCAGATGGAGTTGGACAGGACAGGGGACAGCTCGGCTGCAGCTGTGGAGAGCATCGGTGTGTCCTTTTCCTCACAGAGCCCCCAGCTGTTCCCCTGCCGACACACACCAGCCCCGTGTGGAAACAGGGAGACTCTTCTGCGTTTAAGCCAACAAGCTGTTTCCTCACTCCGCTGTGAGTGAGCACAGCCTCGCACTCGGGCAGGCAGTGAGGTCGGCACTGTGGCTGCTTCAGAAGTGTGAGCTCTGTCTTGATCTTCTACCTGCAGAAACTGTCACCCTGAAGTGGCATCACTGCCCAGATCACACCTGTATTCCTGACTGTGTGCTTTGCTGTGAGATAAGGATCTGTGTTTTACTCTGAGGCAGGGCAAAGCCACTGTTTCTGTTCTGCGTACTAACAGAACCCACACAGTCCAATTACAATTCACAATCGAGAACAGTGCAAAGGTATTGATATTTAGTTATGTTTTCAATTCTGGTTCCAGGGACCAGGGAATAGAACGCCTCCTTTTAAAACCACTGATCGATTCCTTTGTTTTGTGTTTTAAAACGGCAAATGATCCTGACGCCAATTCTATAAAAGAAAGGAGAGAATCAGACCTTACGACCCTGTACAGTGACAAGCACATCCACACAGGAAAAAACAGAAACTGGAAATCCTTACTGGTAATTAAGTAATTAACATCGCTTACTGCGCAGTAATTAACGAGCGTCTTGTTGTCTTCGTTGTCTCCTGCCTATTGGCTCTTTGATTAGAGGGAGGAAACGGACACAAAGGACCCCGACACAAACACTGGCAGCTACACAGCTACAAGCAAAACTGAGTCAATCACGACCCCGGCATCCCTCCTCCCCCCGCCTTTACACTTCAACTGTGACGTAAGCCGAGAGAGAGCGTCGCCGGTTCATACCGGCCAAGTCACAAATCAAGCATGTGTGACGTAACTGTCCGCACGCCGGTGATCCGCGTCAGTGTAACAACACGTCCCTCATAGTCGGAAACATTGTGCGGCCGTGACCCTAAAATCAAGCCCCGCTGGTTCCGTCTTTTTAGAAAATGGGTGAACAGATGGCTGGAAGGTTGCCGGTTCGTATCCTGCGGCCGGCAGGGGAATCCTACTCCGTTGGGCCCCTGAGCAAGGCCCTTCACCCCAGCTGCTCCAGTGGCGCTGTACAATGGCTGACCCTGCGCTCTGACCCCCAGCTTCTCTCCCTGTCTGTGTGTCTCATGGGGTCTGCGAAAAGACAGATTCCTAATGCAAGAGATAGTATAGGGCTAATAAAGTGATCTTATCAGTCGGGTCCGTTTCAGACTTTGGCCGCAACACTTCGGTGTAATCGTGTTCCTTGTTCCATGAGAATCGCAAGCTTTCGCAATTTTTTTCTTCTTTTGCAGTGACTCAGCCTCAGACCAAAGACGGGGAGGATTTGCAACAGAACCGATTGCGCAACGCGCGATCCTCCGGCAGGACTGAACAGGACCGCGAGAGCAGGAAGGATGACGTCGCGTGCGGTCTGCAGCCCGCACGCGCTCGAGTTGACAGCTCGCCCCGGCTGCGGAGTCGTCACACGCGCCGCGCTCGTCCAGCCCGCTGGTTCCGCCGTCCCCAGGTCCCGAACTGGAAAACCCACAGCTCCCAGGCGGAGAGGAACATCCCGACCTGGACGGACCCGGTGATAAAAGGTAGCCCGTCCCGTGCGGCTGACTCTCTGATCAGCCTGGATTTAAACAGATGGTGTTTGCAGAGAGGAGAGCTGGAGTTACCTGCACTGCTCGCGGCTGCTAAGTGACATCTTGCGTTTAAAAAGTGCTTTAAGAGCTCATTTCAGACGGTGTTCGAGGCTTGTCAAGCATTACCGCTGTTGTTGTACCGTTATTACTTCTTTAATGTCATTGGGCACGGGTTGGTAAGTGTCTACGGGTCTGCGGGATCTGGTCAGAAAGTCTCCTTCGCGATCTCTTCCTCGGGCTTTTACTTCTCTCTGCTTTTACTGCCGTGGAATGCCGTGATGCTCCACGCGAGCCCTAACCCACCCCGCGGTTCCGAGATAAAAATCTGTTCTACTGGGCTTTGTACTGCCGCCCGCCGTGGAGAAAGGTTTCAGAAAGTTGGAAAGACGCGAACTCCGCCGAACCACCGGGTTCGAAGGTAGCGTGTCCGCTGGGCGGCATCCCCGCGTGTTCGGAATCTACACGATTTTAAAGGAATTATTTTTGTGGTTGTTTTTTTTTTCGCTGTGAACAGAACCTGCGCAGCGTTAACCCAGAACACGTCCTCCCTTATGGAGACCCGTATATCGCCGAGTTTGGGATCAGGGCTGTGTCAGCAGGTCCAGCGCCTTGCTTGCGAACTCCTGAGCTTGTGCTCCGCTTTGCCGGACGGTCCGGTAGCGGGCGGTCGGTGTTTTTTAGCAGCTCCCCTATCTCTTCGTCCCGGGCCGGCGGCCTGTCTCTCGCCGTGTGAGAAACGCCGTGAAGCTCCGCGCGTCGACGGAGGTGTGACTTAGAAAACAACTCGCTCGGAGAAACTTACACGCGTCCTGGGCGATATTGCTCACAGCACTTCGTCGTCTGCGGAGTTTGGGGAACTGAGCCGCCTTTCACGGTCTGAGTTAGTCACTGCTCCAGGAACGCAGGGGGAAATGAGTGGCCGCTCTGTTTGACGTTTAACACGACGTCGGGTAGGTCTCGTCAATAAATTAGAGCATATCTTGTCTGGTACGACGTGACATCGTTTAAGCCTGTTGCTCGACGCCTGACTCAGATCACACGCCGCGTACTCGGGGGCCGCTGTCACGCGCTCAGCTTCAGCGCCAGTCCTGGCGTGTCCGCAGGCGACAGATGGGAGAGGAAGAGCTGAGGGGACACCGCCACCCTCCTCCGGCTGCGCTATTCTGGTTGACAGTCTGTCCTGCGAGGGAGAACAGTAAATAACCCGAGGTGACAACTTTCATCCTGCCTTTCACAAGCAGATGGAAAGCCGTGGGGGGCCTCTGACAGACGGTACTCACAGGCACAGGAAGTCACAATAAAAAAAACAACAACAAGCAATTATTGTCCTATTCAGAGGCGGGGTGCTATTTTGCTGGGACAGACAGGTGGTTGTCATGCCCAGTGCTGCTCTGCCTGTTGGCGCTGGCTGCTTGTAAGGCTGAAAGCCAGGGTGGTGCAGAAAGTAAAAAAACAACAACAACAACCTTTTGCATTAAGTGTCAAAATCGAGGAAGTGCGTTAAGGGATCAGATCAGCAGTGATATTAATTCACAAAGGTGATGAAGAATGGAAAAACAGCTGCTGTGTGTTAAACCGAATACCTAGGGTATCCCAAGAAGCCGAGCAGGCGGGCTCGTTTGCGCAGGGGAACGTCTGGGCAGGCGCGTGCTGCAGTCGCCGATCTGTCCCTGTGCCGGATGTAAGATCCCGCATGCTCCTGTCCCCCGTCCTGCCTTCCCAACGGAGCCACTGCCCCCCTTCCTGCCGGCACCTGCGCTCATCGTCGCCTCGGGGACCTGAGGAGGAGCCGCACAACGCGTCTTTACCCAAACAGTGGTGGGTGCATGGAACACGCTGTCCGGCCAAGCCTGTGAGCCCTCAGCGAAGGAGAGGGTGAGGCCGTGGGAGCAGTCGGAGCTGGGAACAGCAGCGGCTCCAGAGAGCCTCTCAGACAGCCTGGGGCGCTGTTCCCTTGTGGGGATTAGTGGTGTTTGTGTTGCTTTGCTGCCACACCACAAAACCTGTGTTTCCAAGGCGTGTTGTTTTTGTTAGAATGGCGGCCAAGTCACCCGTAATCCGAGAGGAGGCGTTTGCCCAGCGCGTCTGCGGTCGGACAGCTGGGGAGGGGGGCGGCTGTCAGTCCCTGCCAGGACGAGGAGCCCATGCTGAACCTGTGGCCTCTGATCGCCCAGGGGCAAGGCGGTGGGCAGTCGTTGTTGTTGGACGATACCTTCCAAGGGGAGAGGGGGCTGGCTCTTGGGGCCTGCAGGGCAGCGGTCAGCGGTCTGAATCTGGAAGGGCTTGGGCCTGTGAGCAGCGGTCAG